GGCCTGCAGGGATGTGAAAGTCGCACCCTGGAAAAATGACAACCACACGAATATTTTTCCTTGAGCCGATTGTGAACAAGTTTCTCTTTGCAAGGGTTTTATATATTTGGATCAGTGTATCCCATACACTGTTTGCCAGTGTAATATTGTTTGTTGTTCATATCTGCCGCTATTGAACAGGCTGTTATGTTGAGAAATTGGTAGGGCTTTTCTGAGGAGAGGTTAGCCATAGGCGGGCGAAAGTCTCTGTAGGAAAAAGCCTGCAATTAGTCTTTAATTTCCATTCTCTGATTCTGGATTTAAAGGGTGAGTCTTGCACTCCTCCCTGCCCTATCCCAGGCCCATCAGGAGGACAGTGGGGTGCTGCAGTATCCTGGACAATCCATGCTGCTGAGGGAACTTCACAGACTTGGTATTTTCCACCAGTTATTTCACCATGTCCCAATCCAGATGCTCCAGTGCCTGAATGCAGAGCGGAGAGTCCTGCCCCTGCTGAGTATGGTGCCTAAAGCACCAGTGCTTTAGGAATGGAACAGTCCTTTAGGAATGGAAGATCCTGAGTCCATGTTGCTATTTTCATTTTCTAGATCCAGTTGCTGTACAAGTCTGTCTCTTCTGGGTGCTTGTTGAAGCTGCTCGCTCTGAACATGCAGCTGCAGCATTGTCCTGGGCTCTCAGGCCTTGACTGGTGCTGGTTTTCTAACAGCAGGAACTTCTTTTCTCGTGGGTGTTTGTCCCCAGTACCTTCATTTATTTGTGTACTTATTTATTCAAGCCTCCATCCAAACTTGTTTCCTTTCCTCTCAAACCGTGAGGGTGACCTCCTGCAATTAGCAAGCAGTGTGCTGGCTCAGCTGGGGGATGTTGGAGGACTGAGTCTATGCTGCTTTTTCTTCTCTCTCATACCCTTGCTCAGATGATGGTGGTGACTCCCGGCGTGATCTCACTGCAGGCTTGGACTCCAGGGAATACTGCTTGTCGGATCGGGACATTGTGGAGGTGGTGAGGACAGAGTACGTTTATACCCGCCCACCCCCGTGGTCAGACACCCTTCCCACCATCCACGTTATTACGCCCACCTACAGCCGGCCTGTACAGAAGGCAGAGCTGACACGCCTGGCCAACACCCTCCTGCACGTGCCAAACCTGCACTGGATCCTGGTGGAGGACTCGCAGCGGCGCACCCCTCTCATCACCCGACTGCTGCGGGACACGGGGCTCAACTACACACACCTCAATGTGGAGACACCCCGCAACTACAAGCTGCGGGGAGACATGAGGGATCCTCGCATCCCCCGGGGGACCATGCAAAGGAACCTTGCTCTGAGATGGCTGAGAGAGACCTTTAACAAAAACAACAGCCAGCCCGGGATTGTTTATTTTGCTGATGATGATAACACCTACAGCCTGGAGCTCTTTGAGGAGGTAAGACCCTGCTGGGGGGGTCCTCACCCCCCTGAGCACAGTAAATTGCCAGGTGGTGTGTAGGTGATGCTCTGTACTGGGCTGAGAGGGCACTCTGCGCATCCTCTCCTGAGCTCTGGGACAGTCTTGTCTGTGCAGCAATCTCACTGCAACTGTCCTGAAGTTTTCTTCAGGGCTTGACTACAGTGCTGCCAAGTGTGCCTTTCCCAGTGTCAAAGGCATCCCACGCAAAGTAACGGGGACTGCAGTTTATCCTGTGGCATGTAGTCAGGAGGCATGCTGGTGCGCATCCAGGCTCCAGTCCTTTAAAGTCATTTGCAACATTTGAAGGGATCTAGTTGCCGTTACTGAGGCACCCCCAGGCTCTGTAAACGGGTGCTCTTAGCTGTATTACTTTCTTGAAGAGTGGAGGAATGAAGTTTCCTCTCGGCATCAGAAACCCAGGCCAAATCTCTTCTCTCCCCAAAAGGGAAGCTTATGTTCATGTGAGGAAGTTATCTCAAGACAGGGTCTGGCTGGTAAGATCCTAGTGAAAGCAAAGTGCAAGTAGTCTTTACTGTAAAGAAGCTAGTGAGGAGCTGCCTTCCCTTGTGGGGAGCCCTGTTTGGGTTGGGACGTCTCCTTCTGTCCTATGTGCCTGCACAGAAGGACATGTCTAACAAAAGAAATCTTGGGCATGCTCCCTCACACTCCCTATCCCAGAGGGAATTTCAGGCTGGTCCCTGATCTGACGTTATCCACCCTTTTTCTCCACTCCCACCCACCACGTACTGCACTTGGCTGTCTGTTAATCCGTGTTTGTTCTTGTTTGAGGAGTCCCTGGGGTTTCTCCTCCTCACTTGCTCTTTGCATTTGTTTGCTCTCATCCCAGAGTGTTCACTGGTTAAATTCTGTAGCTGTCAAGAGCCTGGCAGTGCTTTGCAAAGATCCCCAGCTGAGATAGTAGTGTCCTTTCAGAGTTATGCCTGAATGATGACAGCATAGTCGTAGTGCTTGCAGGACATCTTATTCAGAGATGCTCTGTGTGGTTGTCTCTGGCTTGCTGCACGTATGTGAGGCGTGTGCGTTTGTCGGTGCTTGCCTGTCCGCCCAGAAGAGTGGAGCCCTTCGTATGCTGCCTTCAAGAGGGTTCTGTGTGCAGCGCTCCCCTCCGGAGCTCTTCCTCTTGCAGCATTCGAGGACGGATGGTCTCTCAGGCTGTTTTAAGTAGGAGATGGGGCTGCGATCGCAGCCTGGAAGTTTGCACCTCCAGGAATCTTGATGGCAGGCTGAATTTCAGCACGTCCTGACAATCATGTCAGGGTTTGGCATAACTGGATTTACTGAGGGGACCAGGAATCTGTGGCCCTGCAGCACTTGCTCCTAGCAGAGCAGAAATGCGGTCACTCTGAGGATGTGTTGCTCTTTCTCAAGAGGCCCAATCTCAGTCCTTTTTACACACAGTTTATTATAGTGGTGGGCTGGCTGCTTTCACTGTTCTTTGTAGCAAGATGTAGGTCTGAGGCCCCAGAAGGAAGGGACTTGCTCAAGGTAATGCAGGGGGTTTCTGGCAGAGCTGGGAACTGAGCTTGGATCTCTGGAATCCGGCTTGTTGCTTCCACCCCCCCCCCCCCCCCCCTTATATCCTCCTCTTTAAAACTGAGTATAATACTTCCTTTATTGCAGCATTTTTAAAGTCTTCTGGAAACTTGAGCAGAGGAAGGTTCCCATGTGCTTTCCCTCCTTTGGTGCTTGTTCCACTCCTGTGGGTCCCTGAATGAACTCCTGTGCCTTTGCCTGTCTGCAGGCATGTGACAGTCCTACGGTACCACGTACACTGTACCTCACCAGACTTGCAGCTCAGAGATGACTTGTTGCCTTGTTCTCCTAAGGGTGAGCTCTTGCAGCAAGGGACAAGGCAGGAGTATTGCCTCTTCCTCTTCCCCCCACTTGCCAATTTTCATATCAGGGATGTTTTCCTGTTTATTCCTTCTATTCATGTCCCCTTTCCTTTCCCTGATGGCTTTCACTCGAGCTTGGATGGCCACAGGAACATACACACTTTTAAAGCTGAAAGCAAATCCAGATTGAATGTCTTTCTCCCACACTCTCCTTTGAGGCTGGATCTGGCAGCATCTTCAGACAGGCACTGCACGTTAATAAAGCGGGGAGTGTTCCTTCGGTCACCCGTGTGCTTTACTCATAAAGGCTTCTCCTTTCTCTGTTATGTACCTGCAGTCAAGGTCACGTGGAGCCAATGAAATGTGCTGTGAAATGCAGAAGACACGCGCTATTGTTCCCTGTGGACAGGGGCTGCTGTTAGCATGTGTTTAATGCAGAAGGGCAAGTGCCAGAGCTCTTCTGGTCTCGTTTGCTGTAATTAGCAGTGATGAGATTAGCTCTGGGAGATCCCTGATCTAAGAGCCTGGGCTAAGAGCAGAAAGCGAGGCTGAACCCGCCAGCAGACCAGGATAGAGCACTGGGGGTGGGCAGACGGACTGGCGTTCAAATCATCTGCGTTGGCAAGTGCATGCCTTAGAGGTTCCTACCTGTTTCCTTTGGCTCTACAGGGAATAGAGGCATCTAACCGTGTTTCTCTGGATAGCGGGACCAGCTGCAAAGCGCTGTCCTGTGTGCAGGGGGCTTCTGGAGGGGCTGTGCTTCTCGGTTTTCCCTGAGGTTGTGGGCTATAGTTGTGGTGCTTCGCTCCAGAGAGACTTTTAGCTTTATTGTGGCTCATAGACCGAGATTGCAGCTCAACCTCCTTAGCTTTCAGAGAAAATCCCTTTATTCCTAGATTTGCCATTCCTCGTTTGCCAACTGGCCTCGGAAACAGTGCTTCCCTTCTCTGTGTGCTGGCTTCCCCAGCTATCTGTGTGGAGGACTGATGCCCCACAGCTCTGAAGGGCAAAAACCCACTCTTAAATCTCAGTTATGTTTATTATTGGTAGCTTTGATCCTAGGACTAAACTCATGGTTTGCCTCCGTGGCTGTCCACTAGCATTGCAATTGTTAGCTGCCACTTTCCAGAAAGCTTTGCTACCATTCTCCATCCCAAGGATGTGCTTCCTTGTAGAGGTGAGTAATGTGCAGGAGCTCTGTGGCTCCAAGTCACAGAGGGTGTCTGGGAATGTAACCCAGGCTCTTAGCTTTAGCACTGATGCAGTTTGATGTTGTGCTAAAGTTTGGATGCATTCCTCTCCTTCAGGCCAGCGAGCAAGTTGAAGTCATGCTGTTTTGTGTGTCAGAAGTTGCATGTAACCGATCCATCTGTGTGCGCCCACCATTTCCTTCTCTTTCCTTGCCTCCAGATGCGCAGCACCAGAAAGGTGTCAGTGTGGCCAGTAGCCTTCGTCGGTGGCTTGCGCTATGAGTCACCCAAAGTGAATGCTGCAGGGAAGGTCTATGGCTGGAAAACTGTGTTCGACCCCCATCGCCCCTTTGCTATAGACATGGCAGGGTTTGCCGTGAACCTCAGACTGATTCTCCAGCGATCTCAGGCTTACTTCAAATTGCGAGGAGTGAAAGGAGGCTACCAAGAGAGCAGCCTGCTGCGGGAACTAGTGACCTTGAATGACCTTGAGCCGAAAGCTGCCAATTGCACCAAGGTAGGGTCTCCTCCTCATATGTGGAATATAAGGATGCAAGATAGCACAGAAGCCCCTTCCAATCTCATCATTCAGTCATTTGTGCTCTGCGTTTCAAGAGACTGCTCCTCGTACACAAAGGAGCCAGGAACGGGCAAACGTGTATTTAAATATGTGATGTGTGGTGGACAGTTGTTGTTTGTTTGTGTGTTTTTGTTTGTTTTTTTTAGTTGCATGCTGCTTGAGGCTGCCATGGGCCTTGAAATATAGCAGCTTCTCTTCCCTGTAACTTTTCCTCCTTGTTATATTACCTCTAGATAATATCCTTATTATTTCCATGATTGGCTTATCTGTGGCCTTGCTAATCCCCCGGGGCAGTGAATTCCAGAGGTGAAATGTAGGTTGTTTACTTTAAGCAAATTCCAGAGAAGGGTTTTGAATACTTGTACTCCTGTGATAAGCTGTCATCGTATGAGATTTGGCCCACTGGACTTTGCCCGAACTGTAAGCTAGGTGTGCCAGGCCGCTGCGTTTTCTGGCTGCAGGGAAGAAGCATTCGCAGAGTCACTGCCTTCTTGCAAAGTTTGTTCTCTCCTCCCTCCTGGCACACGTAGACTATTACCATAGTTGTCCACAACAACCTGGATCTTTATGTGCTAGAAATAATGCAGAAATATTTTAATGCCCAGGATATTGCTCTAAGCTCTAGGAGGCTGCTAGGTAGCTTTCTTTTGGGGTTTTTTTACTGCTGTCAAATGACTGCTAATTATTTGCATTAACGCATTGCCTAGGAGCCACCAGGTCATGGAGCAGGACCTCTATGTGCTAAAAAAATGTAGAAACACAGAGCACACGGATAGTTCTTGCCCTAAAGACTTCCCAGTCTAAGATGAGAGAGACAACAGATGGATATCTATCTGGAATGACAGGGGAGCACGCGAGATACGACGAGACAATGCTAGTTAGCGCGACAGGCATCAATCACAACGTTTGAGCAGCAGAGGTGTTGTCAAGTACTTCTGAAAGCTTTGCGACTGGGTCCGCTGCACATGGGAGCTGGTGGAGGGCGTCCCTCTGGGATCACAGACTCTGTAGTGCGCTCGCTCCTTTGTCTGTAACAGGGAGACACATGATCTGATTAAGGGAATTTTTATTGCTTAATTACCTCAAGAGCATTTTTTAAAATTTATTTATTTTTACAAAAGAGCTGTTACTTCTGACAGACCCAGTGTTGGAGCCAGGTCTCCATCGCCCTTGGGGACAGGAAAGGATTTTGAATAATAACCTGTGCTTCTGTTTTCCATCTGCACTGCCCCGTGGCTCCCAGCCAGGGAAAGACAAGGATCCTGGAGTTCAGCAGTGCTCAAGCTAGGAGTCCAGGAATAAAGAAGAGAAGTTCAGGAGGAGGAATGACTTTGTTTACTATCTGATACCTACTGTGGTTCATTTTTTATATCTACATGTCTGTAGTTACGGATGCCCAGCATTGGGATAAATGATACAGATAGGTCTCCCAAGGATGGGAAAAGAAATTGGATTAAAATTAGATCTCTGTTCTTGGTCACTGTGTCAAATGTTCTTTCGGAAGCCCAGCCCAGGAGAGGCGGAAATAGATTGCTTACCTCCTGCAGGTGATTTGGAATGCTCTCTGTTTTTTGTTGAAAAGCATATAGTTAATAACAGCACCTTCATCTTCAGTTGAAGAGAAGAGAAGGAAGGTGGTGGATTGTGCCATCATTGTGCTGGACCACTTGCACTGCAGGACATCTCCTGGACTGCTTTGTAAATGTCCCAAGGTCTAGCAGCGTAACTGTGGTCCTCTTTTCCAGATCCTCATCTGTTTTAGAGCCGAAAGCTTTTTCCTTTAAGGAGCTCTAGGCTTGCCTTGCAATTAGGTATATGGTCCTCCCTCCCTCCCTTCTTACCGTCTTACTTCCTAACAAGAAAACACTGATAGGAAATAAGTGTGTTTCCAGTGGGACAAGGGAGATGAGCAGGATGCTTTCAGGGTGATGCGCAGAATGGCAGGGGTGTTCAACACAGGGCAGATCCTCCATGGCTAGTTACGCAGTCTTTAGTATATCGTCCATGCTGTAAAATAATTATCAGAAAGAGGCTTTGTGTTAAAAGGCTGGAGGTGGGAGATGATGGCTATCCTAGGAGATGTGAAGGAGCGAGAGGAAGGAAAACGTGTTTCCAGGTAGGGGGAAAAATATGGTGTTGTCAGTGCTGTCGTGCAAGAGCTGCAGGTCAGAGCTGAAGAGGAAGCAGGAATCTCTGGCCAGGGTTTGAAGCAGGCTGCATTTCTTTTTTTGGCTAGGCTGTGGGGATCTCACAAGGGTCCTTGTTGTGAACTGAATGCTCTCTGCTCATGGCAAACTCTTTTGAGTGCAGCTTTGCACGTTGTGCTTTGCCTTTCTGCTTTTAGCTATTGCCAGCAGCCTCCATTTCTCAATGGCTGCTTTGCTCACGCTTCTGACAGGGAGGAGGGTCCAGGCAAGCAGCAGAGGAGGACAGAAGAAGGCAGTGGGGCAGAGGCCCTTTGCCCCGATATTGAACAGACTTTCTCATTCTCCCAGCATGCTCCCAGTAGTTGTCCGGATTTGCTTCTGTTTAGCATAACGGTACTCCTGCTTTGCAGTGAGATTTACATTAAAGATTATGATGTGTGCTCAGATACAGTGGTTAAGGGGGGACCAGAGAAGCATGTAGGATAAGCCTAGACACCTGTTCTCCAGAAATGCTGCCTTGCCTGCGCATAGTGCTGGTGTTCCCTTTGTAACGTTCATCTGACTCTGGCCCACAAATGTATACTCCTGCAAAAAGCTTAAGTTTTGGCCAAGGACATAAATCCTATTTAACCTCCTTGATTTGAGATCTACCCAAAACGAAGGGGAAAATGAAGAAAGTCAGTATTGATTGCGCATGAAAATGGAGTTAGCCCTCTCCATCAGGAGTGAAGGCTTGGCTTACATTGCTCTTGTAAGGAAAGAAGGCTTCGCAGGCGTGCTCTGGATTTCCGTGTTCTGCTGCTTCTGCGTTCCTCTCCACCCCCCAAGCAAACAAAACTTTCTTGAATCCATTGACCCATTATATCTGACAGCATAGAGGTCTTGGAAGTTCTGTGTTCCCATGAGGTTGATGTAATTGGGTCGTATCCTGCTGCCTGTTTTCTGAGGAAAACGCCTGAGGAAATACTGCAGTGTGCTCAACCAGAGAATCCGACAAGGAGAGAGACCTCATGAATGGCCCAGCCACTCAAAAAGCCTCAGCTGGAGCTGGCACAAGAGGAATGCCCAGAAAGTACCAGGCCATAGTAAATGAGGGGTGCCTTGTTCCGGCTGCTCTTGGATCTGCTTGTTTTTCCGGGGAGTTAGGTGTCGATATGTTTCTTTGGGTGAGGCAGGCTGGAGTGTGCCACTCCAGTGCCCTGGAGTGATCTGGGTAGCAGTTCACCAGGGTTTAAGCAGTGGCTGAAAGTAGTCGTGCCTCCTCCTTCGCCGTCTCTTGCCTGAATCTGATCTGAAATTAAATCTGTGGGTTCACAACTCAGTGGTTAGGTGGATGTTGTTAAAAGGAATTGGCTGGAAGCCTCGCGCTGGACAGGGAACGGCTGTCTCTGGAAAGCTTAGAGAGAGGCAGAGAGGGCAGTGTTAAACGCCGCAGTCAGTATCGCTGGTTGCTGTGAGTGACACAGGCTAGAGAACAGGCGGCACGGAGAGCCGTCCTCTGAGTGCCCAAACCACAAACCAGCCCTGGGGTGACCGTGGGTCTTGGAACCAGCTCTGGGAAGGGAATAAATCCCTGTGGGTATGGAGGAGACAGAGGCCTTGGCTCCTGCAGCAGCCAAGAAACCGTCCAGGGAATGGGAGACCAGACCTGGCAGCTTTATGATGTCACCAGGCTAAAATAGCTCAAATGGCTCAAAGTGGGCAGGCGGGAGGGGAAACTTCAATTTAAGGCAAGAAAGCTTGAAAAAGAATAATTCACTTCCTCCTGATTCTGTCCTGTGGCGCTGCATGTGATAGGCAGGAAAATGAGTTCCACAAGCTCTTGGCCTACTTTCCCTTTCAGGGCCGAGCAGCAGGGTACAAGTGGAGCAGATCTGTCCTCCTTCTGGTCAGGTGGTTCCTGAGATTGGGCTGCTGTGTGTGTTTAGGTTTGTGACCAGTGGTTTGCAGTGAGTGTTCATATCCTGGCTGCTATGTGACAGCACTTTGTTTTTCTGGTGGTTAAGCTTCATACACGCAGCACTTAAGACACTAGTGCTTGAGCCGCTGATTTTTTTTATGATGGACCTGCATAACTTGGAGGATTCTTTTGGATCCGTCTTGTCCTGATTAGTCACCAGAACTGCTGTGCCATTGCTGGCTCCTGTATCACAGCTGAAACCTGTAATTTACATCAAAGTGATTGGGTTTTGCAGCACCCTCTGCCTGTGCCGCTCCACATTAGGCCTTCAGAGCTGTCCTGCAGCTGCGATAGCTCAGATTAGACCATCGTAACCCTTACTTTCATGTGGTCACGTAAGCTTTGCCTGTAATACTTCCACAAAGGACAAATCTTCAAGTTGATGTAATCACGCAGTTGAAGAATACTGTTTGAGCGCTAGCTCATTTAATAGCAGTGGAATTGTGGCTACAATTCTCTAGGCATATGAGAAAAGGAGGCATTACAGGGAGAAGCAGTTGTTATTGGTTATACCAACCGGCATGCTTTTGGGAACACAAGGCCTCTATCAGGCCTAAGAGACCCTGCAGAAATCCAGCTGAGCACAAGCCGGGAGGAAGCAAGTCTGCTGTTTCAGCTTGGTGTCTCTTTGCGTAGTTTCCATTTCAAATAGCAGTTACTGATATCCTCAGTGGAGGGCTTGTGTGCTTGCAATTTTATGACCCCCTCAACTGCAGGTCAACTCGCCTGTTTGCTTTGTAATTTCCTGTTAGAAGACGATGAAAAAGTCTCCCAGGGAGGTGAATCCCTCTAATCCTTTAGCTCTGTTTTGACTGCTGTGATTCTGAACGGCAAGGCGGTACCTGATTGGAAGTGGACTGCAGGACTAGAGATTCTTAACGGGGACTCCCTCTTGGGACCTATAGGAAAACGGTGTTCAGCAGAAGTCAGGTGCTTGGTCTCCCACAGTGTTTACTCTCAAGCAAGCTGTACTTTTTGCACAAGCCGAAGCTTCCTTGAGCTTCCAAACACACTGCTTGTGGAAAAAAAATCAAGCAATTGGCTGAGAGAAAAAGCAGGTATTTCTGTTCTAGATGGCAATCTCTCTCCCATCTTAAAGAGCATAGCATGAAAAATGGAGCATGAAAAATGGTAGAAGCTGTTGTGTCGAGCCTCGAGCTCTTAAAATTAGTCCCATTAAGTTTTGGTTTAATAGGACTGTCTTTTTTGGCACTTGGATTTAACAGTTTAAACATGGGATCCAATTTAAAAGCAAGGCTCTTAATCTGTACTTTTGGTCTTCTGTTTATCGAGTATGTGCCTTAGTGGTTAAGAGTTGTTTAAATGCGAATCCCATTCTTGGCAGAGTGTGGCCCTTGGCCATCAGCAGGGGTGGGTGTCCATGCAAGAGAAAGAAAAACAGCTCTTAGCTGCTCCCACTGGGGAAGAGAATTGGCTACAGGATTTTTTCTAGCACCTGGACTGCATTAAGGTTTATGTATTCTGTTTGTTGGATGAGGAGTGCCAAACTGATGCTTGCATAGCGCTGAAAGCCACTCATAGAGACCTGTTTGGTTTTGTCTTTTCATAGGAAAGTAAAACAGTAATTGCAGCAGTATTGGTGCAGTGCGTGAGCAGGACTCTAATAAAGGCTCACTTTGATGAGAAGGCTCTGGAGTGGTTGTGGGGGAGCAATGAAACGGTTTTTTGGACCCACTCCAAACAGCAGTCGGTCTCTACTGCCATAGTATTAGCAGGCTAGATTGCGCTCTGCACAGGAGGTGACTGCTGACATCAAAAGATGAATTTGGTCAAACAGCTTCTCGGGAAGGTAGGGGTGCTACTGTTTAACCACAAGGGTTTGAGACGTGCTTTGTTCATCCTTTAGAAACAGAACCTGCCCTCATTTTTCAGAAAAGCAGGGACTGAGGATGAAGTGTTTTGCAGCTACTTGGATTAAATGTGCAGAGTATTGTCATAGCAACAAGAGGGAAACCCCTGCAAGGTAGGAAATATCAATGCGAACAGGTGAAGGGAAGCAGGAAACTGAAGTAGCTCTGAAGGGATAAACCTGCTCCCAGCAATGCAGGTTCTAGGAGCAAAACAGTTAGGTATAATTGAGTCTAGTGAGGAGTGAATATTTAAACAGCTTCCAGAACTGTCTGTGCTAGCAGTATAGCACAACTAGTAGAAACTATTTATATATAGCACTCCCCCCCCCCGCCCTGAAATGTTAGACACCTTCTTTATTTTTCTTCCAGTTCTCTTTGACAGATGTTATCTGTATTAAACTTTGCTGCTAAGAAGCTTTAGTAGAAGTAATGGTCCTGATGTGCTTCAGTTCTGTTTTAATTAAACTGGAGACGGATTGTAAAGTGATGCAATATATTGTACCGGTAACAGAATATAGGGGATGGTAGTGCGGGGCCAGCACTGCAAAGGGAGAGTATGTAGGGCTTTGGGGGTGATATCGTAAACGAATGCTTGCAAGGGCCTCATGCAAGGGCCATGGGCAGCCCGCAGCCAGTGGGAGGAACGGAGTGCTCCGTAACTAGCTTGCGCGTCTCATAGCTCTGAGACAGCAGAGGATGCAAGAGAGAACCGGAGTGGGAGTGAGCACTTCTCAGACCAGTGTTACTCTTAACTCCTTTCTAGAGTTTTGAAAGAATTATAAAATGTAGAAGAAATAATAGGAAGATTAGAGAGCAGAATAATGTCTTCTTCCATCTAATAATAGATTTTCAGAGACACACTGAAGAATCGATTTTAATATTTCACACAACTTGTGGCAAAGATGTTGATCAGAACAGCTGGGACTCAGTAGAACCGTCTGTTCCCTCCAATGCACATGAGTGACAATGATGTCACCTAAAGTGGTAAGAAAGTGCTTTTCCACTCTGAGTCTAGCAAATAATTCCGCTCTGGACAAGGATGCAGTAACATGATAACCAAGAAACAGAGTAAGGAACTTAGTCTATAGGGAAACATGCATTTGATTCTCCAGTGATGAGGGAACAGCCTTACGTTATCGAAAAGGTTGACGAGCCTTTCGAGGAAGATGGTTGATAACTACATGGAAGGAGCAGGTTAATGTCCCACGGCAGTATACTGTAAAATGGGTAATTTCTGTGAACTGTGCATTTTGGATTTCACTAGGCCTGGTTAAATGAAGTTTTATGCAAACCTCCTTTCAGCTGTGAATGCACCATTAGGCTCCAGGGTAGATGGTTAAATTGCACTATTGATTTAATGGGCAAGAATATTTGTTAGTGCAGTGAAGAGATGCAGCTAATGACTTCTCTTGGTTTCTTTAGATTTTAGTCTGGCATACGAGGACAGAAAAGCCTGTGCTGGTGAATGAGGGGAAGAAAGGATTCACAGATCCCAATGTGGAAATCTGACTGTACGTGGCTGAGCAGAGACCAACATCAGGTATGAGCTCAGACTTTTGAACTGTAGTGAGGAGGAGTAAAAAAAAAAGGAAAATACTAGCCAAGGATAGGAAAAAGACAAGAGCTTTTTTAAAATGTGCTTTTCAATTTCCATTTTTCACATATCAGCCCTTCCTTGTAAAACCTCTTGAGACCGTTAATGAGGCTCTGTCTTTTTCTTATCTTTACGAGAAGATGCTGAAGGGGAAATATCTGGTGAGAGGTAAGGGGTGGCAGGGAGAAACCTAGCAAGTGAGAGTTTAAGCAAAACTTACGTTATTATTTAAAAAACATTGTCTAAACAAGGTTGTCTTATTAGTTGTTGTAATACAGCTAAAGCAGAAGGGTGAAGGATGTGGATTCACCTACCTAAAAAAGCCTGAGGAAAGTTAAGACAGTTAAAGCATTTTTAAGTCATGCGGAAACTTTCACTGAGGGTAGAGTTTCCACATCAAAGCCACACAAAACTAATGACAAATAAGGGATGGTTTGGATTAAACCCCACACAAGGCATCATATATTTGTTTATGGAAGGTGAGCATGCAGTGTCTTCTTCAGTGTAAAGGAGGAAAGAACATGCACGCTGCTGGCTGACTTCCTGCCCACTTGTTCATGCTCTTGTTTCTCACCTTTAATTCCCTGAGCTTGCTGGTGCATCTTCTGTATCTCTACAGTGCACTCTGCAGTTGGTTTGCTACAGTGAAGGATAAGCTATTCTCTTATAGGTGCCTCTAAATTATGTTGCACTCCTCATTATTATGGAAAAAAAAATGCACAACTCGTTTAACTGGAGTGTAGAATCAGGCCTGGAGGGGAAGAGAAGGTTGCTGCCTGTTCTCTTTTCCTCTGAAATACAGAGGAGAGGAGCAGCAAAGGATATGGGAAAAGGGTGGATTTGCTTAGCAGTGGTGTATTTTTAACAGTAACGAGCTCCCTATAGCACACTCCCTCAAGCTAACTGGATGGAGCCTTGTGTGGGCTGCAGTGGCCTGCATTTGCGGCCCGTTGGCAGGACAGCAGAGGAAAGGCTGCACTGCATGCTCTCTGTGCTAAATATAGCAGCTTTGCAGAGAGGCCATCACTCTTCAGTGCTGTCACAACTGCTTTTCACCAACACCCAGTTGCCTAGCAGCCGTAGTCACAGAACCGCATTCTTAGATGGGTTTTGGGATAGTTCCAAGGGGTGGCAGCTAACTGCAGAGAGGCAGAAGGGTAATATACATGCTCACTGTGTCTCTGTTGCAGAAGATTTCTTCATGCACAGCCTGCAAGGCTCCTCTCCACAGCATCCAGCCAGCCAGACATGCAGTAGCCAGGACCTCCCCTGACTTCCAAGAGTTTTATCATACTGAAAACAAGCAACACTGCATACATAAACTACCCGGAATTCCCTGCCCTTCCTCCTGGACTCTGAACAGAACCAGACACTCTGGAGTTGGAGAAAAAGCACAGAAAATACAGAACTGACGTCAACTTCAGTAAAAGACCAGCACCCTTGCGAGATGCTTGGGTTTGGGAGAAGTGCATGCAGGGCATGATGCACTGAAGAGGAGGCCCAGCTGGAATGGTAGTCTAGACTGAGGGGGCTGGTTTCACGGGACCCAAAAGCAAGGGTGAGAATGCCCACAGGAGTGTGTTAGCCCCTGATGACTCGTTTTTCCTGAGACACACGTACCTTGTGGCTATGTGTGCAACAGCCTAAGCAGCTCTCTGTTCATGGAGGGGACAGCTGCCTTCTGAGATGGCACCTTAGCCCTTAATTTTAAACCTACTTCAATCAGTGTTTATTACGTTGCACAAGACAGGAAGGTTTTGGGGGAGGGTGAAAAGCGAGGCAGGTTAGAACCAACCAATATGTATTTTTGTTCTCTTTGTACCCCCTCTCCTTCCCCTTTATAAGTTTCTGGATTGAGTTATGTTTACAGAACATGGTTCTCTGTTCACCAATGCTAAAATAACTGGAGGTGGGTTTCAATGAGACTGTTGTGGCCATACACCGTAATATGTCATCCAGGCTCAGATCTTGGTTCTTTTTAGCCCTAATTTGGTTCATGTGAGCATTAGGTGTGGGGTTCTCTGAAGGGTGCTCCTACCTAAAGCCCAATTTCCATGCTTAAAAACAAAAAAAAAAAAAATTAACTGCTAGAACTAGGGATTAAATGATAAAAGCTGATTTTCAGTGCATTTAACATTGAATCGGAATGTAGCCCCTTTTCCAGGGCCATGTCATACTACCACAGAGCTAGTGGCATGAAAAGCCACGCTGGAGCAGTTCAAGAATTAACTTCTGATGGATAGAGCAGCACCCTTGTAAAGGGGATCCTGTGCTTAGTGCTTCTTCAGCACCTGGCTTGAGGTAGGTTGAAAAACTATCTAAGTAGAACATTAGTTGCCTCTTCCCTGTTCTGTAACATCAAGGATCTGAGATAGCATTGATGAAGGGGTCTTCTCTGATGAAACTGTATTTTGCTCCTCAGTGAGGCACATGACTGAGCAATGCAGAAGAGGAACCTGGGTGCTACTACCTTAGTTGGCTCAGTATTTGAGATTGACAAACTTGCCGAGGAAGAAATTAAGGTATAATTTACCCCTTCTCCCCACCTCCCACCCCTTTAAAAAAAAAAAAAAACTTCCCTCCCCTTCACAGTTGTTTTCAAACATATGATCAACCCACACTGTCCCCATTCTTTCAAAAAGGTCTGAAGCACAAATTTACCTTTGAGCTAAGGGAAAATGCAATTCTGGAAAGAGACTCAGTTATTTTTACTCCTTTACCTAGACGGTTCTTAAAACGCTATAGACTTGTTTGTTAAGTTTCACAGTTCAGCAGTCTCCCCTTAGACTAATGACATGGTGTATTTCCCAATATTTTTTAAAAAATGATTTTTTTGTAAGTAAGTAAGTTGTTTTTTCCCACTGTGTATCAAAATCATTGAGGAAAAGTTGCATTCTCTAGCTCCCAGTCATGGAAGCCTTGCTACGTAGCCTTTACGAAAACGTTCTGTTAGAGGCAATGGCTGAAATGCTAGTTGGATAGAAAGCATTTGATGGTACTTGTCGCCAGCTGCACTATGGGAACAGGTATTGTTATCTTGTATTAAAGCAGTAGCTCTCTGCATTCAAGCAGATTTATTCTATTACTGTACTAGCATCCCAAGTTCAGTTCAGTCTGCATACCCTAGAGTGGAAAGAGACATTTTAAAAAGAATGTGAAGTTTTCATGCTATTCAAATAATTTCCAACTGATGTCCTCTTCTAGCTGCATGTTTAGTTCCACTAATGTTAGTTCTATTCCCTGCTGGGTTGCAACCTTCCCTCCTTGGAAGGAAATAACTTTCAGAAAAATGCAGAAGATCAAGTCCAAAACACAACCCTGCATATACACTCCACTCTCCTCAGAAAATTGGTCACACAAGCATGGGCCCTTCCAGCTTGCCTGGAGGCTACCATGGTCCTTGGGAGCAGAGATACACCGGTTTATAAGACCAGCTCTGGCCAGGATGGAGTGTATTACAGCTGCCCTGTCTGTTTTCATTTTTAAGTAAACTGTATTTAAATTTGTTAAATAAAATTAAGTATGGTTTTTAAGAGCCAGGATCCCCTGCAACTCCATTATCAGAGCCAGTGCATGTGTTTGGTGTTTCTCTCACAGCCTGAATCCTCTGGTTACGGGAACAGAAAGCTAGAGGGGCTGAGCGACTTGTCAGTGATTCTGAACAGATTCACAGCTTCCTCTCCCTAAAGAGATGGCAGCTCCTCAGTGACTGCGGAGCTGGTGAGTTAAGAAAAATGTCATATTTTCCTAAATCATTTGATTGTGTTTCAAGGCACAAAGATTTATTAAAAAAAAAAAAAAACACACACACAAAACCAAAAACCTCCCCCCCCCCAAGATTTCATAGCAGGTTTAACTGTAAAGTAGGAAAGCTCTCTCCCATTTGCAACTCTGAATGCAACCCCTTTACTACTTCCACAGCCAAAATCTGATCCCTGGTCCTTTACAAAGGGGAATTTCATCTTTAGGTGCTTTAAAATGAGAGCTGGGTGGAGGAATGAATGGAAGGCTAGCTAACTGGTCCTTTTCCCCTCCTGCACCTCCTCTTTGGAAGTTCTCTCTTCAGCCTGACCTGGGGCAGAATAGTAATTGTGAGAGAGGACAAAACACAGCTGACTTTTTAGAACTTTTTTTTCTTTCTGAGGGAGAGACAACCTCATGTTAAAACTCAGTGGAAAAAAGCTTGACGTTAACTCATTTGACATCCGACCTGGCTTCCAACAAGTGAACAAATAATGGTCTCTTTGCAGAACGAGCTATTTAATTCTGCCTGGAAGTGCAACAGAATGGTTTTCCACACCTGGCTACTCACATGATCATCAGCTATTTTCTCCCTATCTAATTATAGAAAGGAAGAGGCCAGTAGTAACACATTTTTAAAGTCACTGGAGAGCTGAGCTCAGATTTCAGTTCAGGTGGCTTCAGTTCTTTCTCTCTCTCTCCTGCCTCCAGCACCCTTTTACTCCCCCACATTCACCGGACTGTCCGTAACATCATGCGCAGCCATCCAGGCTCTGGGCCCTCTGTAGTGCAGGAAGATGAGCTTCCACATCCATCAATGAAACAATGGACTCCGCTCCCCTGGGGGCCTGTTCTCTCTTTTCTGAACTTATTGCCAAAAAGCAAATCCTTTATCTGGGTGTAGTGGAAATTAATGTGCCCAAGTACCTGGGCCATTGTGTCCCCAGACATGCAACCATGACTATCCAAGATGAACCAAACATGGAAAAGAAGTTCTCCTCAGTCCACATACTGGGTCCTTCCTAAATAAGGTATGTCGACAGATTGTATTATCCGGCCTGCAGTTCGCTCTTCAAAAATGATAATCTATGGAAGAGAAAGACATGTTAAAGTTCCTTCATAAACAGGCTGAGCTACTTTAATTTTTAGGGGGGAAAAGGGCATGTGATGGTAGCAGGGGAAGGAAGCATCATTTAAAGAGATCAATCAATATGAGCCTGAGCAGTTACTATGATGCTACAGTACGACATGATGCAGAAAATGAATTAGCATCAAATCAGGTTTGTCTTGGTTTTCAACTTGATGCTGTGCTTTGAAGTTTAGCTGGCATCTTTGTCAAGCCTTAGTGGTTGTTAGAGCCATCTTTTCAGCCTTAGAACACCACTTTCCCTGATTTTCACAGATCTTAGGAACACTCTCCTTCCTCTGCTATCGGGCTGGTTTTCAGCTGAAGATGAGTAGTTAACGTGCTGCACACTCCTACTTTTTTGAGACACACAAACAAACAAGGAAAAAACGCACCAAAGCTTCTCACCTCATTGCTCCCTTTCCATAACCAGGGGCCAGGAAGGTAGAGAGTTTCCTGAGGTCCAATTTTCCAGTAGCGGCCTAGGTTCTGACTGTTGACAAACACAACTCCTTTTTCCCAGCCCTAGAATCAGGACAGTACGCAGAATTACTGGTGCAGCTCTATTGCCTCGTTAGGATCCCCACAGGAAGTTAAATCTACTTTCACACTTGCATTCTTTCAGGCCACCTGCTGCCAGTCCAAGTGAGCTCAACTGCTCTTAAGGCAAGCTGAGAAAGATTTTAAACCTTCACGTTCGCAAAACGACGACAGTAGCGCAGTCTTCTAACTGTATCGCTGCAGGAGGATCTAGAGGCTTCGTCAGGTACTGGGGGATCTTTCTTGCTAAGCTCTATATGTAGAGGAAGAGATGGTCCTTTCCTCAAAAATACTGCATTCTCAGTTCTTAAAGAAAAGGCTTCCTATTCTAGAAGCATCTGTGGATTGTACTCTTCCTTACTACATCTGGATGCTTTCCTGTACTTCATTAAGCAATATCATCTATGTGTTTGTCACAGGTGCTCTGTTCTCCCATTATTTTTCCTCCAAGACTGTACTCTAAAGACATACCGAGCCTAAGAGCCTCTCCTAAGGCAGAGGAAGGTGAATTCTTACTGGTGGACTGACCAGCGCAAAGGTTAACTTGCGTACTACCTCAGGGCAAGTTTGCTTCCTTGTTCCCTCCGTACAACTCCCTGAAGCCATATCTGATTTCATTTAAGTAAGCTCTGTTGCACAGGAGTTATCGTTACTGCTTGCAGTAGCAATTAAGAAGGGTAAAGCTTTCAAAAAGATGTGTGATTCAGGAGCTTAAGTGCCCTGATGACTCTATGACTTGCAGTGATTCACGGTCTTAAAGCAAACTTTATCCTTTTAAACAGGCATACCTTTATTTCTTCCCAAGCATAGAATATCTTTCCCCACCTATTATGCAGGTGACAGGAATACTGTACTGTTGACTAGCATAATTTACAACAAAACATAAATGAAAGAGTGAACAGTACAATAATGATTAGTATGAACCTTAGCGGGGTGGCTCTCAGGGAGTGAAATCAGAGGAGGAAGTTTAATAATACATCATCTTGAGCAGCAATCTTCCACAGAAGGAAAACGTGAAGGCTAACTATCATCCCATCTCAACAAAGAATTTACTCTTCCCATATCATATGAGGAGGTAGGGATAAAAACAAGTGCCTCCTTTTTGTTTTGTGCCCATTACTCCTCTGCAAACTGGAAAATAAATAGCACTTCTATGTTTATAAATGAGACCTTTTGTTCATTAGCAGCTCTGCAGAGTCAGAGTGGCACACATTTTCTCATCAAGACCACTATAGACTGAACAGAATTACCTGCCAGCTTGAGAAGATTTCTACAACCTCAAAATAATTTGCTTTCTCCAAGACCAGAGGAAGACTACCAGGCGGTGTCCCTGACTCATTCAGACCTATTACTCTCTGTAACCAGACTTTTGAAAACCTTGATTAGGAGGGGAAAAAAAAAGAAAAAAAGAAAAAGGACTTGCCTGTAGCTTCAAGAAAGTGTCCTGTGGCTGATGCTCTATCCATAGCCTTCCACGAAAAAAAGCTGGACCAACAAAGTAATCTGGGACTGCACTCCATCCAGCAACATGTCGCAGGCTGTAAGGGAATGACCAAACACACACAGCTAATGGCACGGACTATCAGATGGCACTGAGACAGGACGCTTGTGTCAGGATCATTTCAGACTCGTGCTTACAATAGTGGACTGTTTCCTTTCATGCCTGAAATGTCAAGGAGTTGCTTCCTACTGGTAGTGGCTGCCCATAATATTTATCCGGCTGCAAAAGGATGAGGCTGTTCAGCTCCTGTAAACATTCAAGGCAAGCACCTAGCTGATATCTCGCCTCTGCTTAAGGTAACTGTTGTGGCGGTACACGTTTCAGTCTTCATTATCCTACACTTGCCACATCAGTAAACTGCAAGTCTCTGTTACAAGAAAAGGATGTAGGGGGCTATCTCCATCTCTAATACGTTATAGCAAAGTAAAAATATATGCTTAATGCTGGCTGCTGAAATGCCCTTCCTGCTTCAAATGCTAATGCCATGGTGCAAACTTGAAATGCATATTGCCTGCACAGTCTGGAGGAAATCCTGCAGAACTGGTAGGGCTCAAACAGACCTTCCTGCCCTGGCAGTACACAGCAAACTAAACGTCTTCTGTCATACCCAAAAACCAGAGGATTGCTCATGCATAGACTGTAAAGTTAGGCTTCCTGCACTTCAGAAAAAATGACACTCCTCATGGGTGTCTCTGGAAATTGAACTGCTCTTTGCATTTAGGCACGATGGCAACGTGTTTTAGAAATGCACAAGACAGTGCTCACATTACTACACAGAATGGAAGTTGATGTTGGTCAAATAATGATCTGGTCAGGAGGATCTGAATACTTGGCTAGAATCGTTTCCAGTCTTTCCTTAGAGAGCGTCTCAGGTGTTTCTCTCATACTCTCTCCACAGACCTACTGTCCCCATAAATTGTGACGAAGCTTTAGTTGCAGTGTTAGCAAAGGCTACCCACCCAAATCAAATGTTTGGGATTATGCTGAAGCTGTCTCATGCAACTAGTAACTGGGCCTTGATCCTGTTTAAAACCAAGAAACTTTACTCTCTGCTAATCTGGGTACAGCAGTTATAATTCTGTATGCAATAATCATAAGAAACAATGATTGTATCAAGGAATACTAACACATCCTTCAAAGCTTGCAGTAATTAGGGGCAATCTGGCATTATTTCCTACCTTCTGGTAACAGTTTGGGAACAGGGAACAAACAGGAGAGAAAATGAGGAACCGAGGAGTCCCACAGAAGCCTGGAACTCGTGTCAGAACACGTTCCCTCCTATCCTCCTGAATTGCATCTCTTGGAACCGGGGAAGTTATTGATCTAGTGCAGCTTGACTGTTACTGAATTGTTCAACTAAAGCCTAGGACAATTCCTTTTGCGGTACCATGGAGTTCATCCTTCTCTGCAGTGACTGTAACTGGATTGTGTTTCATGGCTACTGGTCAGTTGCCAGTAACTGATTGCAATTTGATTTTATTTGGGCATGGCAGCTCACTTGCTTTCATGCCCCTCACTGGAAACACTCTTCTAAAACAAGTCTGTAGTCAAAGGTTATGCAGGTTACCCCATCAATAAGAATCCTTTGAGTAGCCCCCCAACACTGCTAATATTGTCCTTAGAATTT